CCGTACCGGACCGGGACCGGCCACGGGATCGCAACCCTCGGTGTTGCTCCCGCACCTCGCTCAGCCAGTGAGCGGCAGTTCTGTATGTGGGATCCGAACCCTCGGCGGGAGTGCCGCTGTGCTTCCCAAACGGCACACTGTAGGAGTGCGCCACCGGGCCGGCCCATAAATTTCTATTTCAAAAATCTGGAGATAATTTGTGGGAAATGACTTTAAGTATGTTTGACCAAGTAGTGTGGTGCTGGCATTTTAAAATTAATTTTTAAATCTTTATACACATTAAGACTTACATATATATTTGTAAGAATGCATAAATGGGATCATTTCATGTATGGTGCTTCATGGCCTTCCAGTCTTATTTTTTTTTCTTTTCTTTTTTACTTACCTCCATTTTTCCATTTTCGTTCTCCTTCCAACCATATCACCCCTTCCCTAGAAGCCCATGTTAACTAAATATATTTTCTTTCATAACTTTCCCTATGCTTATATAATCACATATAAGTGTTCATACATATGTGTTCAGGTACACATATTCATTTTCACATTTACATAACCATTCTAATTTTTAAAAAAACAGTGTCTGAGTGCATAGTTTTTATCTTGCTTCTGTCACTCAGTAATACCATGGGCATATTAAGCTATGTCAAATGGCTTAGTTCTAGTTCATTCTTTTGAATTTTATTTATTTATTTATTTTTTATTATTTTTTTTCAGTATCTTTTTTTTTTCGTTAAATTTTTATTTTGTCAATATACAATGTATATGATTATTATGGCCCATCACCGACACCTCCCTCCCTCCTCCCTCTCTCCCCTCCCCCCCAAGAATGTCCTTTCCGTTTGCTTGTTGTAACAACTTCAAAAAAGTACAGTTGTTATATCTTCTTCCCCACCCCCCCGGCATTCTTTTGAATTTTAGCCTAATATTCCATAGCAAGGGTGTGCCATAAGCTATACACTCTTATTGAGCACCACCTTTGCTTCTAGAAGCTTGACACAATGAGTAATGTTTTAATAAACACTCATATAAATCCTCAAGTTTGGATGCTTTTACTTCTATGAGGGTGATTCTCAAGAATGGGATTCCAAAATCAAAGTGGGTATGTGCTTTTGATTTGAATATGTGTTGCTAGACTGCTTTCTGGAAAGTTCACATATCCTAGGTAATGGATGAGTGTAGTTCTCCTCTGTACACCTATATATAGATATAGGTGTCAGAGATCATTTAAAGCCCTCTGCCTTCTAATGGATATATAGTGGTCTCTGTTGAGCTTATTCCTCATTTTTTTCACTACCGATGAGTGTTACTGTCTTTTCATGTGTTTGTTAACCATTTGGATTTTCTTTCCTGTAAATTGCTCATTCATAGTTTTGCTTATTTCTCTTTTCTGTTTGTCTTTCTCTTGTCCATTTGTAAGATTTTGCACGTTTGTAATATTAACAGTACTCTGTAATCTATTTTGCATGTATTCACTCAGATGTATTAGGTGTCTATTTTGTTTTTATTTTGCCATGTAAAAGTTTAAATATTTACGTAGTAAAAAATGTCTACCTTTTCTCTAATAGCATGTAGATATTTTGTTTTGATTTGTAATTTCTCTAACTCCTCAATTGTACATATTATCTCAATTTCCCTTAGTGTTATTTTTATATGTAATTATTTAATCATTTGAACTTATTTCTATGTTGGTGTAACATGAATGTCTAATTGTATTAGTTATGGATGTATAGCCATTTAGGCAGCAATATTTATTAAATATTACTTTCCCACTAAATAGAAATAATACGGTATATGTCATACATTAAATTCTGTTATCTATATCTGAGGTTTCTTTTCTGACTCAATTATCTAATTGTCTATTTCTACTATAATTTCACATTGAATATTCTAAAATATCATAAGGCCGGGCTTTTCATATACCGTCATTTATCTTTTATTATCTAACAACTTTATTGCAGCATAATTTAAATACCATAAAATTCACTCATTTTAAGTGTAAAGTCCATGATTCTTAGTAAATTTAGAGTTGTGCAATCCACAGTCCAATTTTGTAATACTTTTATAACCTCAAAAGATTCCTCGTATACATTAGCAGTCTCACTCCCTGTTCTGATCCCCAGACTCAGGCACCCCCAGACCCAGATTTACCTTTTCTGGACATTTCATTTAAGTGGAACCATACAATATGTGGCTTTATGTGTCTGGCTTTTT